CCGCCGCAGGCCTACCTGCGTCTGCTTGTCTCTGCCGCCGGGCCTGTCTTCCTCTGTGGGCCGCCGCTGGGCCTGAATGTCTCTGCCGGCTGCTGCCGGGCCTGAATGTCCCTGTCGCCCGCTGCCGCCGGGCCCGTTTTGCTTATGTACATTTTTAAACACACTGTAACCTATTTAGAAGTTTCTTTGTCTGGATCTGTCTTTATTGAGCATCTGTAGTGTTCTCTGATCTCATGAGATGAATCTTAAGCTGGAGCTAGTACATAGCAGCTGGCAGCTGGCTTCATCCCACAGGTAGCTGCTGGGAGGTGCATCTCTATGCTCTGGCTGGCATGAGACTGTGAGACTAGCAAGCCACATTTGGCTTTATTTTTGTGTCTGGAAACTTTTAAAGCTTTCTCAGGTTTTATGTGGAAATTTGTGCCCCTCGTTGGAATGCCATTTGTGTTGGAAGACATTGCTGGCTAGTCGGGGTCACAGCCTCCCCCATGGCCTGGCAGCTTATCTCATTAGGGCAGCAACATGGAGCTCCCTCCCTCATGCTCTCTACCTAGCCTTATCTGAAGAATGTCCCTGAACCTGGAGGACTGACCTTATCTAAAAGCTGTCTCTAAACCAGATGCCTGATTCATCTTTAGTTTGACTCTGTGTGTGTGTGTGTGTGTTTTATTAAGAAAATTTTTATTCATTTTACATACCAATCACAGATTTCCCTCTTCTCTCCTCCAGCTCCTACACACACACACACACACACACACACTTTAGCTTGACTCTTGGCACAGATTCTTGCTAAGGAGACTTGCACTAGGAGCTCTGCTGTAGGACCCTATGTCACATACTAAGCCTTGTGATAGGACCATGCCACTTAATGAAAATTAGGCTTTGTCCAAAGGCTCTACAGTCCTATCCCTTATAGACTGGAAAAAAAATTGAACTGATTCAACAAAATCTGTCTCCTGGAGGGATGTGTCTGTTTGTGCTCATGGGCCATGCAAAAAGTGTTCTGTTATCCCTTTGTTGTTTATTATGTGGCACCAGTGTTATTCCTTAAGTGGCACTGTTTACTATGCAAGAAAAGCCATGAGGTACAACAAAACCTACTGTAAGAGTTTATTAGGGAAAGGAAACAGAAGGGGGTGCTTAGGCCTATGGAAATGGTCATGCAAGGAGAAGGGGGAGGGGTATGTGTGGTTTGCTTTTATGGGTTCCCCCACACATGCACATGTGGGCTTGTGTAGCTACACCATGCATGCACATAGATTACCTCATCATGCTGTGTGCAAATTATGTGATTGCACAGTGCATGGATTACATAGGATATAAGGCCCTGGGATGACTAAGCCTCTTGCTTGGCTATTGGATACCACATGTGTGGTCATGTAGCTGAGGGAGTGGCCAGGACTTCCAGCACCCTTTTGCCTCTTTCCCCTCTTGACCTGGTGGCCATCAGGCTGAGAGGGAAAGTGGACCCTCACAGATGGCACCTGAGAACAGCAATTTCTGGAAGTGCAAGAATTGGTGAGCACCCCTTCCCTGATGGTATTGGCTTCTTTAGCTTGGCTGTCCCAACTTGAGGACCAGCAATCTCCTTCTCTTCTTTCTCTTCTTTGTACCTCCTTTGTAGATCTGGATTAAGGTCAGTCAGCAACTGAAGTCTTTTGGTCAGGGCAACTCTCTGAAATTGGCTAAAGGTCTTCTACCTGATTTCTGGACCTTGACAGTCCAACTGGGCATGAACAAAGACCTTTATTTTTTCTCTCTTGTACAAAAACCTGGTAATGCAGCAGCCAGTTAAATGCCACTAGGGCAGCTGCCAACCTCTCAGATCTGCAGACAGGCTTAAGCTTCTTAGAACGTCTCAACCTCCTGGGCTAAATTGCCTCAGGAATGTTGAATGCCTCTGATAGCATTTCCTCTCTTTTCTATAATGGGAAATTCTTCACATAAAAATGCACAGGAGTACAGCCTGTCTTGGCTGACATGCGAGGGAGCACAGAACAGAGCCTATCTCTTGGAAGCCCTGCTGTTCAAGCAGGGGCTGAACAGAGACTCCTGAGTCACCATGCCTTGTGATCTGGGCGGAGCAGAGTCCATGTTCCGCGTGAACAGGGCAAATGGAGCCCCCTGTCCAGGCTGCCATGTATGGGCAGCCTGCTCGTGGGGCCGATCTAAAGCCCTGCTAGGGTGCAGGCTGGGTCCCTGTCACTGCTCTTTCTCTCCCTAAACTACATAAATTTCCTGTCCATACGTTTGTTACAAAGTATAAGTCAGATGGAGAGGTTCCTGCCCCTACAACATCTGCAGCTGCAGATTCCTTCTGCCCTGCAAGAAGGAGTGGCCTCTACCCCTCCCCAACTCCCTGCCTCAAAAACAAAAACTATGCTCTCCCGCCACCACAGCACAGCCTGTACCAGGGTTGGGAGCCCCTAGCCACACTGAACTCGTGTCCCAACTGCAGCTTGTAGACAGCCTACTTGAGGGGTGGTGGCTTTTTGTCTCACTGTAAGTGCAGCTGGAGACTCACATGAGCCACTGCTTGGGCCATCACAGAGTAAGCGCACTCACCCCATGCTTGGTAGCTCCAATGGCAGCAGGTGATGGATGGATGCGGGTGATGGATGGACGAGGTCAGGGATGAGGTCCGTGGGAGACTGCTCCCCCCCACCCCATGACTAGGATGGCCTTATGGGAAAAGGGGCTGGGGGAGATAGTGCCAAAATGTGCCAAACCACCTTGCACCCTCTTGGTAGCACAACCTGCTTAATACCAGGCCTGCTGAAATCTCCCACAATCCACTGCACTGCCTCCCTCCCAGGAAAACCTCACCTTTCCTTCCCAAGCCAGCAGCCAATGGGTGTAGGATACTTCCACCATGCTGCCTTTTACCATCTCCCAAAAACTACAATCCTGACTAAAGACCCACTAAAATTCCTTTTTTCTATATCTTAAAATTATTAACTTTTCTCTTTTATTTCAAAATCTATAGGATGCCTGCCCACCAGGCAAAATTAAAAATCTATGTAATTCACAAAGAAATATCCCTCTCATGGGAAGTTTTTGTCTATTTCTCAAGAAAGCTGTGTTGTTAACAGTTTGTTCATCAGTTTGTGCATTCTGGTGTGTCCATAAATATCATTTAAATATATCATAAAAACAAAGATGGGTTAAATATCTTTTATTGTCTTTGCAAGTCACCATGTGGCTACTCCTTATTTGTGGGACCTCAGAATATATCTGAGCCCTCTGGCCACTAGATTCAGGTTAACAAAAGCTTACATATCCTTTCGGTATGGATAACATTAAGGATTATTTTTTTGATGCTCTATTTTATTAAAAAGCTGTTTCTAGATTTGGGATCTGGCTCTCCCCTTCCCTAAATTCAAGCATGTTTAAAAACCTCTTTATGTCCTTTATCAGGCTGAACCTTCTGACACAGACACTAAAAATGAAACATCAAAAAAATTTATATAAACATTCTACACCGCCAAATTTATAAGTTCATTTTATTGGATTTAGTTTAAAAAAATCTATAAATCTATAAAAGGATGTAAAGTTTAAACCTTAAGTTGTGAAGATCTAAACAAATGTCTTAAGGTCTGAGAAGGTATATTAAGGTATATAAATACAAGCTGTAAATGTCTGAAAATGTAAAAGCTTAAATTATGATAAAAAATGACTTAAGTATTTAAATACAAGTAATTAATTGGAAGTTATTAAGTTATATAAATACAAATTGTAAAGGTCTGAGGACATCAAGACCTGGATTGTGAGGATCTAAAAAAGATGTTTTGGAGATACTTGGATGGATACAATTTATAAAGATATAAAAATGGCTTAAGGTATATAAAAAATGTTTCAGATTTCTTCCCTTTGCTATAGTATTATGATATTAAGACTTTAAAAGCTCAAAGTTTTAGCATTAACCAATAGAGTTATTGGTTAATAACAAGCTATTAATCTAGCTCTAAAAATACAGACTACTTATTGTTTAGTCACAAGTTCAAGAGTTTAAGTTTCCATGGGGTGGGAGGGGGGAGGGGGGAGGGGGGGTAGCAGCGGTGGCGGCGCATGCCTTTAATCCCAGCACTTTAGAGGCAGAAGCAGGTGGATCTCTGTGAGTTCGAAGCCAGCCTGGTCTACAGAGCAAGTTCCAGGATAGGCTACAAAGCTGCACAGAGAAACCCTGTCTCAAACCCCCCCACAAAAAAATCAACACAAAAGTGTAAGTTTCCTTTAGTTATCCTCTAAATATAGACTTAAAGGTACTTCTCATTGGACTAAAAACATCTCTGTTCAATCAGTAACTGATTCTCTGGACATAGAAAAAATGTTCATGCCTTTTATCCCAAAGCCATAGCCTTTGCTATGACACCAAGATATAAATCTGTTCCAGCTGTTTTACAGACACCAGTAACTGCCTTTTCTATAATGTGGATTTCAGTATAATGATAATGCTAATATATCTAAAACTTTCATCTCCTTTGGTAAAAACTAAAATTCATATGAGCTTCCAGGAATCAAAACCATAAGGCTTGCATCTGTCAACAAATCAAACAAAGAGGGTTCCAAATGTAAAATTTCTCTTTTTCTGCCCAGCCTGTATCTTAACAGAGTTCCACCTGGCTGACAATCACCATCTCCCCCCCCCCCCAACAAAAAAACCAAACCAAACCAAACAAAAAAACCTGTAAATTACAAGCTACTGAGCTCTGGACTTACTAAATGCTAATATAAACCAGTCCCGCTGATATAAGTGCTCCCTCCCCATCACCTGGAACAGCCAATCAGATGCTTCTTACAAACAAGCCTTTGCTTAAGCCTCTCAGCCTTCCTGGGCCCTGACTACATATGCCCTAGCTCACCTGGAAGCAGCTATGGAAGGCATCATCCCTGCTACCATAACAGCGGCTAGATAGGTAAGTTAAACAAACAACTCACAAACACCAATGGCTAATGAGACCAGGTAATTTCCTGGAATTCTGGGAGCTGTAGTTCTTAAAAGATAACACCTACCCAAGTACCAGGTAACTTCCTAGGACTTTGGGAATTATACTTCTTAACATATAATAACAAAGCCTTATAAAAAGGTATGATTACATATGGGTTTTGTCCATATAAGCCCCAACAATGTATATCAAAGCCATACAACTAAAAGGTTTCCAGATGATGGCTCTGACAAGATTCCATCTTGGTCAATATTTAAAATTTTAATAAAAGCTAATTTTAACTTTACCTCCTGTCCCATATATATATATATATATATATATATATATGTATGTATGTATGTTTCAAATCTGGGACAAGAGGCTGAGATGCCTATTTAACACATCAAAGCTAGACCTGCTGCCAGGTTCTCCCAGTGCCCCCCAGTCCTTACCTATTACAGGGTATGGCTCACATACCCTGTCCTAAATTTAAAAATTAAAAGAAAAACTAATAAAGGTCAACTTAAAAACAAAAATGACCATCTACACCTCTAGCAATACAATTAGCAAAGACAATGGCCACCCTAAAAATATTCTATATCTACAGAAAATTTAAACACCCTCCCATCTTGGTATGATGGATGGCCTTACCCCATGAATGGAATATGGAAGAGACCTGACCTCCTCATAGCAGGAAGAGGTTTCTTTGCTTGTGGTTTTTTTTTGTTTTGTTTTGTTTTGTTTTTTGGTTTTGTTTTGTTTTTTTTTCTACAGAAAGGACCAACCGAGGCCTATTTGGATCCCAGCCAGAAATGTCCAGCAACGCACCCCCAACCAAAAAGATGGCTCATCTCTCACTGTCTGGTCAGGGACAGAGAAGATGGAAGAAACTCCACCCCTTGAAGAACAACAAAATCTCCTGAAGGGACATCGATGACCTGGTGGCCACTGCCCAAGCCATATGCCCTCCCACCTCCTCTGCTATTTTAATGGCAGTCTTTATTATATCATAGGGCTGTCCTGCCACCATTTAACCCCCTAATTCTCAACCCAACAGTCACCACTGGCATGTTTCCTTCGAGGAAACCTATTAGGACAAAAAAACAATGAGATTGGATCCATGGACTGTCCCAACCAAGGATGCCATCCCTATTTCAACACCTAAATAACCATCTCACTATTATTGTACTTGACTCCTGGAATGAAAGATAAAGAACAGTAGTCATAGGAAAACAGTTATGTTAAATATCTCTCTGCTGATGTTCATATTTCTCAACAGCTATTGCAGACCTCCCAGTCCATGCTAACCCATAGAAAAATTCTTAAAGAGGAGATACAGCTAAGAAGAAATTCTCAGTCCACCCTAGCTACAGTATGTTCAATATGTTGTTAACTTTCTCCCATTCACCACCTACCTTAATGCCTCTAACTGCTTATTTTATATATCGAGCAATAGACCTCTGCTGGCAGCTGTACTGGTTAGTACCCCTCTCCTTTACCCTAGGACCAGTGTCTCACTAACATCACTCTTTCCAGACTGACATTTAAGATAACCTCCTGCACAGACACCCCCTGCCAGGGTTTACACTATTGTATGATTATTCCACAGGTCTGCCCATATGAAGAGAAAGAAGCAACACTGCTGCTAATCAAAGACAAAAGATATTCCTTCCTTTACTGATAGCAATAAGACTTGCCATCTTGTCATCTCCTTTGGATCTTCCAGGGCTACAGCTGCCATCGTCCAGACACATCATCTGTCTGGAGACTTCAGATACAGACTTGATCAAACAATGACATCTACAACTGAGAGCCTTGAGTCACTTGAAAAACAGATGAAGTCTCTTGCCAGGGTTGTGCTCCAAAACAAAAGCGCATTAGACCTCCTAAGTGCTGAACACGGGAAAACTTGCTTGGTATTAGGGAAAGAATATTGCTTTTATGTAAACAAATCAGATGTTGTTAAACTAATGTCAACACTCTCAAAAAACGATACAAAGACCTACTCTCAAAATCCCAGTCTGTATAACAAATTAGCCGGTTCCATAAATGCTATTTTCTTGGCTCCTACACTTTATTGGTACTCTGATTATGCTGTTTTATTTTGATGTTTGCCCCCACCTTATTCAGTTCGTCCAGTGACAGGTCACCACCATTGCTTAATTACCAGCAGTCAGGCAATGGTTCACTGCCAGGCCCTGGAACCTTCTGACACAGGCCACAGGTTCCTCAGGGATTAAAATGACACCTCTCTATTAAAAAAATAAAATAAGAGATGTGGGAAGACATTGTCTCAGAGACAGAGGTCTCAGCCTCCCCATGGCCTGGCAGCTTATCTGAGTAGCTCAGCAGCATAGAGTTCCTTGCCTCCAGCAAAGCTTCCTACTCTACCTGCCCTTATCTGGAGAATGTTCTAGGTCCTGGAAGACTGACCTTATCTAAAAGCTGTCTCTAGACCAGATGCCTGATTTGTCTTTACCTTGACCCTTGGCACAGATCCTTGCTAAGAAGACTTGCTCTAGGAGCTCTGTTATAGGACCTTACTGTCACATACTAAGCCTTGTGATAGGAGCATGCCTATATATTCCTTATAGTCTGGAAGAAAATTGAGCTGATTCACTGAAATCTGTCTCCCAGAAGGCTGTTTCCATTTTTGCTCATGGGCTGTGTACAAAGCTTTCTGTCACTCCTACCTCTTTCCCCTTTCAGCCTGGTAGCCAACAGGGTGAGAGGGAAAGAGGATTCCATAATTTGTAAGTGGAGTTTTCTGTCCCACCAACCCACTCCCAAATAACCACACAGAGATTTAGTAATTATAAATGCTTGGCAGATAGCTTAGGCTTGTTACTAACCAGCTCTTACAACTTAAATTAACCCATAATTTTTATCTGTACTCTACCATGTGGCAATACCTTTTTTCAGCACGGCAAGTTCATCTGCTTCCTCTGTATCTAGCTGGTGACTCTGGCCTCTTTCTTCCCCATGTTCTTTTTTGTCTGCAAGTCCTACCTAACCTCTACCTGCCTGACTGTTAGACATTTAAACTTTTTTTTTTTTTTTTTTTTTTTTTTTTTGGTTTTTCGAGACAGGGTTTCTCTGTGTAGCTTTGTGCCGTTCCTGGAGCTCACTTGGTAGCCCAGGCTGGCCTCGAACTCACAGAGATCCGCCTGGCTCTGCCTCCCGAGTGCTGGGATTAAAGGCGTGCGCCACCAACGCCCGGCTCATTTAAACTTTTATTAAGCCAATCTGAGTGCCAAGTCTTCACAGTGTACAAAAGGATTATTCCACAACAGAAGTGTTGCAAGTAATGCAGAAAATAGGTTTTCAGTGGGAAATAGACTGCATGAAAAATTTAGCTAGAGGTCATTTACATAATATTTTGGCCCCAACTTGTTCTTATTGAGTAACATGGATTTAACAACTAATGGGCTGATTTCTTAGAAATAGTATTAATTCTGTTGGATGATTATTACTGATGATTCATTCACGTCTATAGTGAAAAAGAAACAAGTGGGACAGAAAAGATGAAATATGTTTTTTAATGTGTTAGTTTATTTTCTCAAAACTGTTTCAGTATCAATACAATCATCATTCCTTTTGTCATAGTAGGCCTATAGAGATTAAATACAATAAATAAATTTGAGGACAGAATAATTGGGCCTTTGTTCAATGTTTACTGAGAAAAATGTGTTACTAAGATTTGCAATATAGCTTGCTCCTTAACTGACTCCTTGGCAAAGATATTTCCAATATAAAATATTTCTCTGCAAGTGTTATTTATAAACACATAAACTTGAAGAGCCTACAGAAGAAATTAAGGAGGAAAATCAGCCTCATATTTGACACAAATTTCTTTTGAGGAGTTCCTTAGCAAAATTTCTGGATTTGAATTTGACATATTAAGCAATGTTCTGACGGAGACAATGGAGAATACTATACTTAAAAGTGGATCACTTACCAGAGATGTTAGCAAATTCCATAGTTTTTACTTGATAAAACAAAAGTTCACCCTCTCCAGAGGATTCAAACTGCTAAATTTTTTCTATAATTAAGAAAACATCCAGGCAGTGGTGGCACATGACTTTAATCCCAGCACTTGGGAAGCAGAGCCAGGTGGATCTCTGTGAGTTCAAGAATTTGAAGCCAGCCTGGTCTACAGAGCAAGATCCAGGACAGGCACCAAAACTACACAGAGAAACTCTGTCTCACAAAACCGGGGAAAAAAAAAGAAAGAAAGAAAGAAAGAAACCTTCCACTTATTCTAATTGCAATTGAAGAATAAGCAAGATTTCCACTGAGTAGTTGCCATTTCAAGTCACACATCACTGCCATCCTCACACCTACTGCCTTTTTTATAGTTAAATCTACCCAGTACAACATATTAAAACGGGGGGGGGGGGAGGGAAAGTTTGATTAATAAGAGAAAATATACACAAAAGATACAAATTCCCAGAAAACATAGCAATACCAAATAGTCTTAAATTATCCTAATCACTTACTGAAAATTGTAGGTAGATGAATTTCTAAAGGGTCTTATTACATAAAAAACATGGGAGCCAGATATTGGGGTGAATGCTGAAAGATCAAAGAAGCAGATAGCTAACCTCACCTTGCCAACTTCTCAGCCAATCCTGTTTCCACGAATCCTCAGACTGGAAGCCTCTGAGTCTTCACCCAAATGGATCTCAGCTGACTGCTACTAAAAGCTTAAAGAGACCTCTAGTTCCTGGTCCTCATGCCTTATATACCTTTCTGCTTCCAGCCATCACTTCCTGGAATTAAAGGCGTGTGTCTTTCCCAAGCAAGACATGAGATCTCAAGTGCTGGGATTAAAGGTGTGTGTCACCATGCCTGGCTTCTATGTCTATCTAGTGGCTGTTCTGTTCTCTGATCCCAGATAAGTTTATTGGGGTGCACAATATATCAACCACATTTCTCCCTTTTTTGTTTAAAATTTTTAAGTTATAACTAATATAAGAAAAAGTATATACAATAAGTATATACAATATATACAGTCAAGAATTATATTGACAATGTATAGTCCATTAACATTTGACAGATTAACAATGACCAGTCCATTAACATTTGACAAATTCAGCCAAAAAATTTCATTACTTATCCTATTTAAAACAAGTGGTTCCTTTAAAAAAAAAATAGATTCAATAATCTATCTTTTTATCTTACCATATCCATATTTCTTTTTTCTTTTCTGAGTAGATTCAAAAGTCTACCTTTTATCATTTATTTATTTTTTTCATTTTTCTTTATTAAGAAATTATCTTCTCACTCTACATACCACACACAAATCCCATCTCCCTCCTCCCACCCCCCAGCCCTCCTAACCCACCCCACATCTCCACATCCCCCAAATCAAGATCTCCCATGGGGAATCAGCAGAGCCCAGCACACTGAGCCTCGGCAGGTCCAAGCCCCTCTCCACTGCACCAAGGTTGCATAAGGCATCACACCACAGGCACCAGGCTCCCAAAAGTCTGCCCATGCATCATGGATGGATCCCCATTCCCCTGTCCGGGTTCCCCCCAAACAGTTCGAGCCAAACAACCATCTTCCATATCCAGTCCCATGGGGGCTCCACAGCCACTAGTCCACAGTTCATGTGCTTCCACCAGTGTGGCCAGTCATCTCTGCAGAAATATCTGTTTTGTAGAGAAAAACAGCCCTAGGTAGTTTTAGATGGCAGTCCTGTGGTGAAACAGAGGTAGAAAATTTCAAGGTATTTAACATTGAAGAGAAGGTCCTTGCTTTGCATTGGAAGCATAAGAAGGAACCCCAAGGGTAGGACTCCATCCATCTAAACCTTCAATTTATGGTAGGAATAGGCAAAGTGACTCCTAGTCACAGGAAGCAACTTCACATAGAACCTACTGCAATTCTGGTCCAAGCATGGCAAGGTCATCACAACTTAGAAGGCAAATTTGGGGACTTATCAGTGTTGTACAGGTTTTGGAAACAAGAAAAATGCAAAATTTAAAGGTCATGGATTCTTACTCTATGGTTTCAGTTCAGCACTGTTGCACTCATCTTTGATGGCACAGCCATATCTGAATGGAATGGCAGAAGTCATAAAGCCAGCACAGCTACTTGACAAAGATCTAGCAAAGCTGAGCCACAAGATGGCCACTGTGCCACCTTTGGTTTTCATCTTTATCTGTTGCATACTTGGGAGACTTTTAATATTTGTACAATTTGGGAATATTGGATTGATGGAAAATTTCTTATGAATCATTTATGCCTTCTCCCAGGAGTATTGCTTCTAGGTTTTCCCAGGAAAGTCCTGAGCATACTACCCTTCCCACATTTAGGGAGATATCCTTATCACTTGAAGGTCTTCTTTATGCCTTGCAGGTTGTGACACACATAAAGAAGCCAGAGGTCTCTTTAAGAGGCTATGAGATATTCTTTAAACATCTGTCCCTGTACTTACACAAGAACAAGATATTGAAAAGAAAGTAAACTTCAAAAGGTCAACAAGACTTGGTGGGTTAGAGGAGTTGGCCACAGTTCAGATTGCAAGCCTCTTTTCACTATACACTCAGACAACTATGTGGCATATACAGCAACAAAGTAAGATAAGCTAAAGTTACCTCTGCCTTACACAGAGACTTATATTGATGAGCAAAGAATGGAATGGATAGATGGGATAGATGATAAAAGAATGAGATTTCAGGACGTTCCTTTCTTAGAAAAGTTAGCACATGCAGGGTCACTGTGATGACATATGACCAAAGAACAACAGAATGCCCGGATTAGACATATAAACAAATTCTGTAACTATATAAAATTTAAACATTGTATTATGCCAGAATTTGAATAGTAATTTCAGTTGTTTTGGCCTGAGGAATTTTCTTGGGCACTCTGACAATTAAGAATTAATAATACACTACTCGGGACATGGCAGTATGCCCAGGCTGGCTTGAAGATTTTGTTTTGGCCTAGCAACCTTGAAGCAACTAGTGCTACCAGCCTGAGAACAGGCTATCATATTCCTTTAGATTCTTATTGGGTTATGGGTTAATGAGTAAAAATGAAAACTTTAATCAATGATGTCAAA